TTATTATTATTATTATTATTTTATTGAGATTTTATTAAGAAATTTCTTTAATTAATTAATATTATTATAACTATTTATAATTTTAACTACTTAAAAGATAAATCCTACCTCACTAAGTATTCTTAAGGATAAGCGCTTTAACTTAGTAGTTTAAGTATTAGTTATACTTATTTATATAAAATTTCCTATATTAGCATTATTATTTTTATAACAGCTTAGGTTTAAATCCTATTATGGTTACCTTTTTTTTACTTTTTTTTATGCTTTTTTTTATTATTTTTTAATTTTCTAAAGAATTTTTAAATACTTAATAATACTAGTAATACTAATAACTAATATTAATAATAAACTAATAATAAAACCATTTAGTTCTAATTTACTATATATATTAGCTTCTATAATTCTTTAATAAGTGATAATTTTTAACTTATAAACTATAAATTAAACTTCTTTATACTATAAAAGTTTATATATATATATATATAACTTAAAGCTTTAATTATAAACTATACTTTTTGTTTATACTAGCTAAAAGTTCAAGTAAGTATTAATATAGCCTTAAAATTTACAATTATTAATTTAACTAATACTATTATAATATTACTATAACATTATAGTATTATTATAGTACTATTATAGTACTATTATAGTATATATAGTATATATAGTATTTAAATATTATATTATATTATTTAAGTATATTATATATAACTTATAATAATATATATAAATATTATATACTTATTATATTAAATAAGTTAAGTTTTATTTTATATAAGAGATAAATATATATATATATAAACATATACCAAAGAAATTTTTTTTTTAATATTTTATTTAGTAGCTCTAAAATACAAAATATTTTAAAAACCTTTTTATATACTACTTATATATTAGAAATCTAGTATAATATAGTTAATTATTTATTAAATTATATATCTATAAAATAGTATATATATAGTAGTTATTAACTAAACAACCAATAAAAAAACTATATATTTAATATTAAATATAGGATTTAAAAGAAATTTTCAATAGTTTTTAATATAATTAAATATTATGGCTAAAATATAATAAAAAACTAAATCCTTTTTTAGCTATTGATTAAGATTACAGAATAATAAGAGAATAATAGTTAGAATATTATTTTAATAACTTAGTTTTTTTAATTAGTTATTTAATATCTATATATAAGTTAATCTAAGTAAAAAGTATATTATTCAAATATTTTAATTCTAAAGATTTAGATAGTAGTACTTTTATTTCTTTTAGAAGTAGCTTTAATTTATTATAGATTAAAATATATATTCAAACTTCTTTTATTCCCTTTTTAATATTTCTTTTCATCTTTAAGTAATTTAAGCTTAAAAATTATTATTTAGTATTAAAATAGTTTTTTTTTTAAATCTATAAGCTTAAAACCTATCTTTTCTTTTATTTCTACTTTTAAAGCTTTTATAATTAGCTAGTTAGCTTTATTAGCTTTATAGTTAATTTTATTATTTCTAAACCTTTTTCTAATTTCTTTTTTATAATTTAGCTTTTTAAAGCTAAAATTAATATTAATTAAGATCTTTTTACCTTTTTCAAGCTAATTAGTAATTTCCCTAGATTTTCTAAGGATTTATTTAATATAAATTCTTTTAAAAATTAAATTAACTCCTCTATTAAGATTCTACTTTCTACTTCTCTATAAATACCTAAAAATAAGCTTATTTAAACCTTTAGAAGATTTCTTAAGTTTAAAATTTAAATCTAATCCCTCTTAGTAAGTTAATATAATTTATTTATTTAATTACATATTTAAATATATTAATATATAAAAGCTTTAAGAAAAATATAAATATATAAACTTTTCTAGAGAGATTTAAGCTAGATATAAGTATAAAAAGTATGAGAGAAGTTTTTTAACTGCTATAACTTTAAAAATATATAAGAGATAAGCTAAAAGGTAAAACTTTTATAAAAAATACTTTTAGTTAGAAACTTAAAGCTAAAATATATTTTTATACTAAATATACTATTATTATTAGTCTTTTTAAATATATATACTTAATATTTAGAAGTAGAATTTTATATAATTATTCAGAATTTATTAAGAATTTTTAAAATTCCAAGAGTGTTTTATTACTATTTTCTATTTAGAGGTATTTAAAAAGACTTAGTAATCTTAAAAATATAAAAATAGGAAGGTTATTGATTTAAAAGCTATTATATTATACTTTAATAGTTTTTTTTAATATACAGTTATATGGTATATAGTATACTATATATTATAACTATATATAGTTTATAGTATTATAGTATTATAGTAAGTAATACTTTAATTATATAATATAAAATCTTTTTATTTAGTTAAATAGTTCTTAAATATATTAAATATTAATTATAAGTAATTAATATTCTTTAAAATTAATATGCTTTCTAACATTTATAATACTTATTATTAATATTAATATTAATATTACTATAAAAAAGTAAAACTATTTTTATATACTTTTATAAGTTTTTATAACTATACTTAGTGAAGTTTATTAATCTAATAAAGGTTATAAACTTAAGGTATACTTTACTAGCTTTAGGGGAGGGTTATAGGCTTTAGGTATGCCTAACTAGCCTGGGGCGAGCGTTACTAAGTCCCTCATACTCCCGCTAAGGTAAGATAGGGAGGTATCTCACTGAGCACTTTTAGGGGCTCAGCGGGGCAGCTCAATGCTCAGATGATGCACGGTCCGCAGTTGGGCACTTCTTCCCCATGGTGCAGGGGGCTTGATGCCCACCAGCTACAAGACTTGGAGCGTGTCTAGCGGACTGGTGCCGTGCTGTGGGCAATTTATTAGTGACATCAGCAAGCTGGTCGCCGGGCAGGGCCTGGCCGAACGGACCCGACGACGTGACGGGACGTTCATCTGCCTGAATTGGGTCCGTTGTGGGACTCTCAGGCCAGCACGTACCTATGCGCACACACCGGGCGGCGGGCAAGACACATAACCTGGACAGCAACCAGCAGGACAACCTCATCACACGACGCCGAGCCCGCGGCCCTTTTTCGCATCCCGCGCTGCCGACTTGAACACATCAACAACCTGCATCGACATACGGCACCCACCACCAACGAAGGTCCAACAACGACGATAACTCCGCTTCTATCCTTCGTCTTGCTACTACGGATGCATGCCCACCCATAGCAAGCTTGCTTCTCACACGAAACTTCCCGCAAAACATTTCCACATCGCACCGAATCGAATCGCGCATCGCATAAACCGATATCCCCGTCCGACTAATGCCTACCGGGCCTCTTAGCTGCCCCTCCTCCCACTATGGACTTCGGGGACGTTAACGGTGGACTTGGCGACGAACAGAAGCCTCGCCCTCTACCCTCAGACTTGCCCAAGTCTCTCGACGATCGTAGTCATCGTCCACGCGAGCTGGTACCGGAGACGGAAATGTATGATGGTTGGCAGGGTAAGTCGCCTTTCCCCCTCCCCCTCCCCCTCCCCATACCCCTCTATCCGCGAGAGACCCTCGCCTGCAATTCTTGACATGTTAAGATGATGCGTGGCTAACACCCAACTGCCAGGACAATCGCAGTTTCTGACCACGCCCGTACTTGCAAAGCCCCTCAACTTTGGCAATCTGAGCTTAGACGACTCTACGTACGATGAAGATATCACTACAGGTCCCAAGAATAGCGACGCACGTCTGATGGAGATGCTCGCCGCCCAAGCCGCCCACCGGGTTGGCCCGGGTTTCGATGACGAGAATACGATACTGGCCGACGAGAAGCTTCCCGAAGATGAGAAGAAAGACTTGTTGCAAAAGGCACTCAACATGGCTGCGAGTAACGGCGACACCGAGAGGATTGGCAGCATACTCGGCGGGAAAGCCAAAGAATACGTCGACGTTAATGCGCCCGACGAAGACGGAACCCCTCCGCTCATATACGCGAGCTGCTTCGTGGGTCAAAAGTAACCGGCCAAATCTCGCATCTGCTGATTGAGGACAGGGCCACGAAAGTGTCGTCAAGGCGCTCATCGACGCTGGCGCTGACGTCGACAAACAAGACCGGAATCAATGGAGCGCGCTTATGTGGGCAATGACGAACCGGCACAAGAGCATCGCCAAGATCCTCCTCGACAATGGGGCATCGGCCGAGCAAAAAACCTCGTCTGGCCGGACGGCCTTCGACTTCGTGCCACCGGACAGTGATATGTCCTTCTATCTGCACGACAGTGGCTACAACATAGGCAATGCGGGAACAGATGACTTCTACAACCCTGGCTTTTCGCAAGACCGCTTTGAAGAGGAAATGGCCGAAAACGAGTTGCGCAGACGAATGATGATGGACAGTGCACGCGATCTCGAAGTTGACTTGGGTAACGTTGGCATGGATGATCAGCCAGAAGTAAGTTCTAACTAGCCACTTTCTTTCCCAACCCTGGTACTGACGCAATAAGGCTACCGATGAGTTCGAAGAGGAGCAGCCTGAATTCGATTGGTCTCGCTGTCTGCATGATCAAATGTTTGTGTTCCAAGAACACGAACTTGACCGCATTCTAGACATTGTCATTACCAATATGACGCCTCAAAGATCTCCCGCACAGAAGCCGGTTCCTGCGAATATGATCTTCCTTAGTGCGAGATACGCGCACTACCACTCTAGCCCCGACCTGTTGGCTAAGCTGATGATATCAGCCATGGACAAGATCAATGATGTCGTGGAGCAGTATCAATGGGATATGACGATCTTGGCTTTCTGGATTTCTAATGCCACCTTACTGCTTCATTACCTCAAGAAAGACGCTGGACTTGTGGAAGCAACGGTTCAGTTCCAGGCTCAACTTTCAGAGCTCATCAATGAGATTTTCATCCTCATTGTCAGGGATGCGGAAAGGCGACTAGACAAGGTTCTCGACGCTGCAATGCTCGACCACGAGACCATTCCCGGATTCGAGGACATTGCCTTCCAAAACGAATGGAGAATCTTCAAGCGCAAAGCGCAAGTCAAGGAAGAACCCTTAGAAAAGCGCTTCCGGCCACCGTCCCCGAAGCAGAGGGCGAAGCCTGCTCCCCGCAACGTCACCTCCCTGCTATCATCCACTTTGTTTGTGCTGGATCTTTACGACATCCACTCAGTTATCACAGCGCAGATTGTCTCACAGTTGCTATACTGGCTTGGAGCAGAGCTTTTCAACCGCATAATGTCTAACAGAAAGTACCTTGCGCGGACGAAAGCGATGCAAATTCGAATGAACGTCTCGACGCTGGAGGACTGGGCTAGAACCAACAACCGACAACCCGAGCACTACGAAGGAGGCGAGACGAAGTCCTCTGGCGAAACGACGGTGGACTCGGCGAGGCGGCATCTTGCGCCTGTCATTCAGCTTCTGCAATGGCTGCAGTGCTTTTCTTCACTCGGTGCCGACGACCTCGAGGCCCTCGTGGGCACACTGCAACAGCTCAAGCGGCTAAGCCCACAACAGCTGATCCACGCAGCGCAACATTACAGGCCCGAAGTCGGCGAGAAGGGACTACCGAAGAGCGCCCTCAAGTATCTCAACGCGATTCAAGCAGAGCATGTGCGCAGAAAGGAAGACCGCAAGAGCGCCCCCTCAACGCCGGTCAAGGCGAAAGATGCAAATGGTGGTAATGCGGACAACACCGTTGGCAAGGCGGATAAGAGCCCAGGTGGAAATGAGAGTGAAGAGGAAGACGAGGATGTGCCGGAGAATCTCCTCATGGATCCGGCCTTGATGCTACCATTCACGCTGCCATCCGTAACGGACATGCTGGTCTCGTATGGGGCAGGCTTCGGAGGTGTCAACAGGGAGCGGGCGCGCAAATACATTCCTTCCGTTCCGCCCGAGTTCCTCTCGAAACTTGAGGCTAGCGGCGCACGCAAAGGACCAATGTTCAGTGAAAAGGATTGGGAGAATGAGGAAGTTTGAAGAAGCCGCTCGATGCTAATTACCCTCGAGACGGAGGGACAATTTATTTTTTGCGGCATTTATGTGCAAGTGGTTAGTGGCGACATGAAGCCGCGCCTAGTGGAAACCAGGAAACCACGCAATTGGAGACGTTTCGGGTGGCGCTGCAAATTTCTGCGACAGGCGGTGCGATGTATGGGAAACCGCCAACCAGCATAGCGATTGATTCAATGACACGCAGAGACGGGTCACACAGCGCGTTTGCAAGGGGCAAACAGACATTTTATTGAGGCATTGGTTTTTTCGAAAATCCTCATTGAGCATGGGACGGCACTAAAGGGTTACATTTCTCTCCTCCTTGGTCTGCATATTGGACGGAAGATGACCTTAGGGAAGCGGCATGAGTAACCAGCGGTGCGAAGGGAGTAGTGTGGATGAACGTGTACACTCAAAGTGGAAGCTGAGCAAAACGGAATAGCCTGCCTGGACTGCCCACGATGAAAGAGGGGGACGGGTTCGCTCTATGCTAAGGTCATTGAGCTATTTAGTCTCGTTTTCTCCAATTTGTTAATGCTCGCGACGTAGTTGACTCACCTTGGGATGTGGTTCCCGCGTGGTTCCTGTGGCCCCAGAACGCCCCGTTTGTTCCGTAACGGTTCGACCGCCCTCTGGGGCCGTGGAAGACGTGGGTGCGTTCTTTTCAACTTCTTTTTCGGCTGTCCCCCCGTGGTTGGTGCGAGAACCACCACATTGAGTTGCGTTAGCAGTCACGCAAGGCAACGGATGGCCTGGAGTTTGCCAAGTCGTCTGCTGGTGTGACAAGTTCGTGATGGCCAAGCACCTACTCCTCATCTATCCCGCTAATGCCTCCAAGGCCTGCTGTTGGAATCCCCCGGGTTGAAAACGCCCCCCTAGCATAGGCCCTCAGAGTCTAAGGGCACATTCCTGCGTGGGACGACCCGAGAACGTGGGAGACGAGGATGGGTGGAGAGGACCCTGGAAGGATGTTCCAGCCGGCAAACAGCCAGCCGAACCCGATGCGGCGCTAGAAAGGTCGGGAAGACCCCGATCTAAACCCCAAAAGGGTCTGGCCTCCTGCCACGTCAGATTCTTGCACCAGTGGTCTCAAGAAGTGTGCACACTGTCACATGCATATGGCGCAAATGCCAGACCACGACTGCCAGCTGTTTGGGTCGTTTGTGGCTCCGGGGACAAGCAGGAAGCATCCGGGTTTGCTCTAATCTACTGTCATTCAAACCTATGGCCATGGTTGGTTGGTTGGTTGGTATGGAGGGCGCTAAAGAGAAAGAAGAAGGGGGGAAAGTCTGCAGTCACTGTTCCTGGGATTTTTGCGCCATATCTCTGGCTTCCGTGAAATTTACTACTAGAAAGGCAGAGGGGGAAGAAACGAGTATTGTTAGTTAGATGGGAGTAGAGAGTGGCATAGGAATAGGGACATAAGCAAAGCAGAGGTCCGTTATTGAAAGTGGTTGAAGTTGCTCAATGGACTAGGGAAATGGCTGTCTTTCCTACTCCAACCAAGCACGTTCGAATGGCGCACGAACTGCTGGGGCGAAAAATCAACTGTATTGACCGGGGTAGTTCGATATGACCGGCAAAGGGCTGGATCCGGTGCTAGCGTCCCAGCAAGAAAGTTGATGACAGGGCATCGCGCAAGCATATGCTCGACGGCAAGAGCTTGGGGATGGGCACGTAAACCCTGCCCTGGGAAGCCTCCCGTTCGGGAGAAACTAGCTTCCGCTCACCATCCCGAACAGGCGGTAAAGACGTGTGAGTCAATAGAGGGCCAATATGATAAGCTGAGTGAGACAAATCTCTTTTGGCATTCAGATCAGACGAAGCAGAAGGGTTAGCGCCGATCAGAAGGGTCCCGTGATTCTGCAACCCGCATGTGGTTTGGGTGACGAGGACATATCTGACGGTCCCCGGACTGGGTTCGCATTCTTTTCGAAATTTAGACAAGAGTGGACGGGAGGGCAGGGCCACGAGAGCGTTTGCAGACCGAGCGACAGCCAATTAATGGGTGATGCGTGGGACGACGGTTGCTGGCATGTCGTGATTAGATTGAAGGGTTTGGCGCCAGGGAAGGGGAGCTGCGCTGTGTACGAAGAGCAGCAGGCTGCAAACACAGAGATAGGTAAGTCCAGGATTCGGCGGTCGCTTTGAAGAGACATGTGTAACGACAATTTCCGGCTGCGTCGGGCGGCCGTTGCTGTGTAAGGCGGATGGAGCAGATTGAGGCCGGGCCAGGGCAGATTATGGATAAACGTTTGCAACGGCGGGTTAGCGAGAGAGGAGGTTGAACATGACCAGCGTCGGGGCGCAATTATGGCGTACGCTCGCGTATCGCGTCCGCAGGTGTTGTCGCGGTGAATTCGGCGGTCATGAAGAAGTGTTGCGGAGGCCGATATGCAGAAAGGTGGGCTTTGTGCGTTGAATGACCCCGAGTAGCGGTATCGGTTGCAGGGTGACCTTCACCGACTCAATGCGTAGCGATGACGACGAGGGACTGGAGAGGGTCTTTTCTGGTCGGCTGCTATAGAGAAGCCCTGCTTCGGGTACTGATGCATGGCCAGATGGCGGGAGACGGGCCGGGGGTTCAAGCCAATGAGCCTATCAGAAAGCGTTTGAGGTGCGTGGCATGCTGGAACGATTGAAGATGTGGCTGGTCGTGGGTGGATTGATTGTCGCTGCTTTGCGTATGGGCGCTCGCTCCCATCATGTGGCTGTCCGTCACCCAGGCCTAGCCGGTCTGTCTGCACTTTTCTTTCTGGTGCGCGCCTCTTCTCTCTTTTTTCCAATCTCCTGTGCCTGACTACGTTGCGTTGTGTTGCGTTGTTGGGATGGATGGCACGGGAAGACGGACAGGGACAGGATAGTGACAGTGGAGGCTCGTTCAGAGGACGACAACACCCACTCCCGTCGACCACTGGACATTGTCAACCAGCAAACCAGTGGTAGGGCACGATTCCCACGACAAGCCAATGGGAACGGGGCGGATCGTGGATCTCCAGCCAATCTGGGAAGTTGGCTGCAGCATGACAGGGTTCCCCCGACCGCCTCTGATGATGATGCCCTTGTCGTCCATGGTTTGCTGTGCGTGTGGGAGCAACAGGTGTGAGTGCGTGCAGATTGTGGTGCCGGGCTGTTGCGGCTGTTGCTTCCACCGCTTCCTGCTCTGCAACATACCTTACTAAAGGTAGAACTGAGGTGGACATCTTGGACAGGGCTGGGCCGCCTCGAAACCCATCAGTCGTGGAAGCAAAAGACAAGAAATACCCGACCTCGAGCTTCCAGTCTCCCTCGTGTCTTTCCTGACCTTTTCCCCGCCTCCTTCCGAAGCAATTGCATGTCCTTCTTTGCGCCAGCCAAGCCAGCGTTTTGAGTATCACCACCAAGCCAATGCCAGCACTCTTTGGCCCTCACCAAGTTCGCCGCACAAGGTACCTACCTACCTACCTTACCTACCTACCTCATCACACCTTCCCGCCCGATGTTATTTTCCCATCATTCCTATTCACTCCCCCCTGCCTGCATGCAATCAATTAACCAACTCCAGACCACAGTCCCGATTCTTTTTGATCCTTCCGCCGTTTGACTGTGTCGTGCCTGCACAATCTTGCAGCCACTTACACACATCACCGCCTACTCCACGGCTGCTCTCTCGCTTTGAACGACGCCATCCAGCGCCACGCTGCCATATCACGACCCCTGCTCGGTGCCCGATAGGTCACCCTCTCTTCCTTTCCGTCCCTCTTGGATCGTCGTCCGAAAAGCTCTCGCATCTCAGCATCTCATCCATCCCTCCGAGGACTCTCTGTTCCCACATTAGGCTAGCGCCACTGTCTAGCCTCGAGGGCTCGAAATTGGCACACCTGAATCCAACGCTCAACGGCTCTCCGAGCTCTGGACGGCGAGCCACTTACCTCCACTTACGCCGTCACAACACCCGCCTTGGCCGCCCGTCCAGTCCATCTCTGGACCTGCTGTGCTCCCACCGGCGTACCACCGACCGCTGAGGGAGCTCCAATCCCACGCCGGTACCCAAGACCCCGGCTCCGTTTGCGAGCGAGCACGGGCGGATCGTCTCCATCTGGCCACTCACGCCCGGCCGGAGCACCCTGAGTACTACGCCATGGCCCCCCAAAAGTCCACAAGCGTGCGCCTGAAAGCCCGGCCTACGCTCGTTCCCTTCAAGGACGATACTAGCCTCATCACCGTCCGCTACGAAAAGACGGTCCAGGCAGAGCCTCCTATTCCTATTCTTACGCGCCTCCCCCGGAGATCTCTATCCATCTCGACGCGTCGAACCTGCCGTTCTGCAACTTCGTCCCTTCCAAGTCCGCCCATCAGTCCCGTCGTCGTCACTCCTCCTCCAGCAATCGAACAGCACCCTGCCTTTCGTCCCCGTGTGCCCGCTGCCGACAACGATTGGAAGAGGGATTCCGGCCTTGCACCCACTGCTTCGTCCGGGGCCACAATTGTCGAGGAGTGCGAGGACCAGGATCACGCGTACGACAAAATCGACGCCTTGATTGTTGCTGGCCACGTTGTGCAACGACAAAAGCTCGTAACACCCTCCATCTGCGACAGCGAATCCTTTTCTTCCACCGAGGACCCTTCCGTAGCCAAACGGCCTTCAGCTGGCCGATGCACGCGGACAGCTGCGCAAATGTCCATCGCCATGGACCATTATCATCTTGCGCAACTCCAAATCGCTGAGCGTAAGTTGTCTGGCAGCTTTAGCAGCACCTTGTCGGTAGAGTCTCCGGTTGAGTTGCGGGATAAGAGTCTAGCCGACCTATCACCTGCCACCCAGCCAATGATCACCCCGGCGCGGGGCTCCTCTTTTACAGCCTCTGATAAGTCGCCTAATCTCTCCCCTGTCAACATCCCAGACGACTTCAACCTCCTGAGCAAGGATGCCACCGACTTCTCCCCCATTTCAATCTCCATCCCCACCGTCAGTCTGCTCGACGATGATTTCCTGACGACCCTCT